AAAAGTGATGAAAGATTCATGTATCATTATGACCATTTTTCCTAACCTCTGTGGTTTTGGCCATCTGAAAGCATATTTGGTGTAATATGTATTTATGTATAACTGGCCTTCACTATTGAACATTGTATTCAACTGTTTAAAAAACTGAGAACGTCTTATGCCTGATAGTTTGTTTTTATTAAATTACAATAATTGAAAAATGTGTTTTCTCACTCTCGAATAATTTCTATTTTATAGAAAAGACTGAAATTTCAGTTTGTCTTATACTGGCAATATTGTTTACAGAGTTGGGTCATTGATTCTAGAACTATCTAATTTAAAAGAAAAAAGGTAATGTTGAAGGGTTAGATTATTTTTGTCGTTTTGAATGGAATGGTAAATTATAATTTGCTATAATTTAAATGTTTTAATTTAACAATTAATTGTAAAACATCATTTTTTTTTTGTTTTATTCTTTAAGGTTAAGAATGGCCCTACCTATAACTGTACAGAATGTAGTTGTGTATTTAAAAGTTTAGGCAGCTTAAACACGCATATCAGCAAGATGCATATGGGTGGGCCACAGAATTCAACAAATTCTACAGAGACTGCTCATGTTTTAACGGTAAGTTCAGTAATTTGGAAGAGCTTCTTTTTAAACTAAAATCTATCATGTAAAATATGACCTTTACAATTGAATATTTAGTACTAAAAAGGTGCTATGAAAGTTTTTTACATGGAGATAAGGTGTGACTTTTTAAAGAATGAAAATTAGTCTTTTGAAATTTGAGAATAATAATTAGATGACTTTATGGACTATCATCTGAACCTGTAAAAATAAGACAAAATATAATCGTTAATTTGTGAAAGATCATTTCTACAGTGTTATTGATGATTATTGAATATTCTTTATAATTTAGGAATTATCCTTTGTAGATAATATTTGTCTTTTCTTATGTGACAGTGGTAATTTTTCCCAAGTCTTTGGACTTTTGAAACTAATTTATGTTTTCCAGTACACATAGTTAAAAATTTTATGATTCTAAATACATATGCCTACACACAGAGAGACAGAGGTGCATACACACACACAGACATATACACTCTTATTTTCTCTGTAGGTGTCTTTAGCTCAGCCTCAGTTAGTTACTTGAACTGTACCATTCTCTCAACAGATTAATAAATGGTCAAATCTGAGCCGACTATGGTATCTTAATAGTAGTAGATGTTAAATACAAACGTGTGAGAAGTTTTAATGTATGCTTATGAATGCAGTTACTTGGTTATGTTACGTCAACAGCTGCCTCTTACCAATATGGAAAATAAGTCTAATTAATTCTTAGTTTTTAAACATTAGGCTTATCTTTAGTGTTTGTTTTTTCTTTTCTTTTTTCCTAACATTTGCAGTATGGGATGGTTCCTCAGTTTATTCTTGACGAGGTAGATTGTTGTCAAATGAATTATCAAGCTGGAAAATAATTAGAGTCCAATAATTATGTCTTCAAAATTCTATTTTTGTCTGAATCTTCTTAAATAAAATTTTTAGTGTTGTGTAAATCAACCAAATATTAGTTTTTATCATTTCCTTTGGCAGTATGCACATCAAAATGTATATGTAGTGAGCAATCTGGAATAATAGTTCAGATTATTGTAAGCACTTATATTCTCAATAAAACGAAACGTAGTAGAGGGATTTAGAAACCTGGAATCTCCTTTACCTTACACCCTTACTTGGGCAGGGAAGAGCATTAGAAGTTAAATTATATATATTCTTTTTCAGGACTGCCTAGAATCAGTGTTCAACTGCCTGGATTGACTCTACATGTCTTATATTTCACCTTTCATGTTTTCTAACTCTTGGCCTTTTTCAGTCCTAAGGTTTTTTCCTCTGTCACCCAGGTTGGAGTGCAGTGGCGTAATTATAGCTCACTGTAACCTTGACCTCCTGGGCTCAAGTGATCCTCCTGTCTCAGCCTCCTGAGTACCTGGCACTACAGGTGCATGCTACCATGCTCGACTTATTTTTAAATTTTTTGTAAGACGAGGTCTCACTGTGTTGCCCAAGGTGGTCTCAAACTCCTGGCCTCAAGGGATCCTCCCACCTTAAAATCCCAAAGCCCTGGGATTGGGTGGCCTGAAGAAGTCTCCTCAGCTTTATCTTATGACTCTTTTGATTTTTTTTTTTTTTTTTTACAGTAAGAGGATGGAACCCTGCAACAGTAAAATACAAATGGAATTGACTAGATTTTTAATTACCATTTCAAGTGGAATTCCATAAGAGCTATCACTTACCAAATACAAAAATATATCATTGTTTGACTATAGAAAATTTGGCTATGATGAAGCTAAGTTTATTGGTGGTTAATGGTCTCTCATTTGATCTAAAGTGATCTTATCAGCAGTTATTTGATATTATATAAACATTAAAACAGTTTTAATGAGTAGCTTTGTGATACAATTGTGTGAAAGAATTCCTCAAAATACAAGGAATTAGCTTTGTTCTCCTTGATATGAAATACTAATTTTTTTTTTTTTTTGAGACGGAGTCTCGCTTGGGCTGGAGTGCCGTGGTGCAATCTCGGCTCACTGCAACTTCTGCCTCCTGGGGTCAAGCAATTCTCCTGCCTCAGCCTCCTGAGTAGCTGAGATTACAGGTACCTGCCACCATGCCTGGCTAATTTTTATATTTTTAGTAGAGACGGGGTTTCACTATGTTGACCAGGCTGGTCTTGAACTCCTGACCTCATGTGTTCCTCCTGTGTCGGCCTCCCAAAGTGCTGGGATTACAGGTGTGAGCCACTGCACCTAGCAAAATATTAAATATTTTTATTTCAGGGCACCTCAGTTGGTTAATTGTGACACTGATGAGTTTCTTGAGATTTTTGAAAATTTATTTAAGAGCATTAACTTGAAAATTTATTTAAGAGCATTAACTTGACTGTAATGACTGTTTTCTAAACCAAATATTGAGATATGTGGTTGACAGAGGTTTTAGATGCCACCTTAGGTCATTAGTAACATTGAAATTTTGGAATTTGATATTTATGGGGATATAGGAAAAGAAGTCCTGGTCTGTATATGACACCAACATTGTGTTCACATGTCCATACCAGGCTATTGGCTGAGTGTCCCCTTCCCCGTACCTACTTGTCCATGTGGTAACTCATAAGCTGAGTCCCTACAATTTCATGTTTTGTGGCATGTGAACCTGTGCCCCACTTCCCAGAATGCACATGAGGCTTGGGTTCACAGTCCTGTAGCCATGACCCAGTCTCAGTTTAGTGCCTTCCATTCTGGGCAGCAGGAGCACCGTACTCCAGTCTACCACAGCTGCCTCTGGGCGTTGGCCTGGTTTCACTGTGTTCCTGTGCTATGTGCTGCCTCCCCTCCACCCCAAACAAAGTGGAACCTGCCACTCTCAGGACCACCCTGCAAAGGCAGAATAAACTGGATCTTGTCACAGCAAAAAAAATAAAAAAGGACAACCGAGCATGTTTTGGCAGTAGATCCATTGGCGAGATGTCCTAGACCCATACCATTTTTGGGAATTTCATCTTGCTTTCTGGATAGTCTCCAACCAGAAGATCAAAGCATACCTATGCCACTAATCTTATCTATTAAGATTCTTTTTCTTTTCTTTTCTTTCTTTTATTTTTTAATCTTATGGTCTCTATTCCTCCTCCTACTCACTTTGGTGGTTTTCTCACAAGGTTCTTTTTTTTCATTTTTTGAAATGGGATTCTCCTGTTGCCTAAGTTGAAGTGCAATGGCTCGATCTCAGCTCACTGCAACCTCTGCCTCCCAAGTTCAAGTGATTCTCCTGCTTCAGTCTCCCGAGTAGCTGAGATTATAGGCGTGTACCACTATGCCCAGTTAATTTTGTATTTTTAGTAGAGACGGGGCTTCTCCATTTTCGTCAGGCTGGTCTCGAACTCCCGAGCTCAGGTGATCTGCCCACCTCAGCTTCCCAAAGTGTTGGGATTACAGGTGTCAGCCCCATGCCTGACTAAGGTTCTTTATTCATTTTTTCTCTCTCCATGCTTAATCCCTTTGAGAACTTTTCTACTTTCTATTTTTAACTAGACTTTAGCTTTTAAGTTGATGACTTGAACTTTTCATCTCTTACCAAAACTCCAGTTTTTTTATTTTGTCTAAAATGTCTCTACTTAAAATTTACATGAATATATTTCTTTCCTACCCTCATCCCTAGTTCCACTTTCACTCCCTATGCCCCAAAAGCCAAAATATAACAAACTGATTTTCTTTCCCAACTTGCCGTTTTGAGAACAGTACCAGTATCTTTAGCTGTTGACTCCTTTTTTCTTCTGTTCTTCACCTCTCATATCTAATCCCTAAGTACTGTCTGCTAATTCTTCCATCTAAATAGAAATTACTTCTAGATTTGACTGTCTTTCAGATTTTCATTTTTACCATCCTACTATATAGGCCCTCACCACTTCAAACCATTGAGATGACTGTACTTACTAATTTGTAATTGTTCTCACTATTTTCTCCATCCAGATTCATCTTGAAAATACTCTTGTATTTCCTTGTGCTACTTATTGTTATCTCTAATCTTTTCTAAATGCAATACAAATACTTCAGGGATTAAACTCAAAGTCCTTTATCAGCAGTCATGACTTAACCTAGTTTTACTTTTTTCCTTCTACTTCCTCATTTCATCAGGACTCTATGCTAATACATATATACTGTCTTCTTTTTTCATTGTTGTTTACCTCCACTGAGAATACCATCTATATTCCTTTTTTACCAATAAGAAGTTTTATCTTTTGGCTTAGTTTAAACCCTGTGTTTGTTTGTATACCACTTCCCAGCTGTGTGATTTGTACAAGTTAATTGAGCCTTAGTTCATTTTTCTATAAAAATGGGGTTAATTGATAGACCTTGCCTTCTAGGGTGGTTATGAGGATTAAAGCAGTTAGTATATAAAAAGTGTTTAAGCTTTGTAATAAGAAGGGCATGCCCAGTAATTTTAACTGTTACCATTAAATAAAAATCTAGTTGAAGACTCATTTCATTCAAGTCATTCCTCTGATACCAGTACTAATTTGCTGACCTTGGGACCTCAGTTTTCGTGTATGTGTAATGATGAGGTGATTTCTAACATTTGTTGCATTATACAACTGAAAGCAGTGTGAAAGAGAAAAAGAGTATGAGCTTCAAAGTCAGACAAACTATCAGATAATAGGAAGCATACTATTATTAAAGTCTCTTACTATTTTTTGCTTAAAGTTGAGGTTATACACTTTCAGTGAGAACTGGAACCAAAATCAGGTTCCTAGTTTTCTGGTCCTGTTTGATACTTACTACTTTATTGACAATTTGATTTTTTGTTTCCTAATTTGGTGATGTTGGCATAAGATATAAATAATGGCTGACAAGTGTATCCTTTTTTTTTTTTTTTTTTTTTTTTTTTTTTTTTTTTTTTTTTTTTTTTTTAGGTAAGCACCAGCCACAAAAGTCTACAAAAGAAGGTAAATTACTGTCTTTAAATATATATTTAAAAAAATAAAAAAAAAAAAACAAGATCCATGAGTGGGCATCGATCAACAAGGAAAAGATGTGGAGATTCTCACCCGGAGTCCCCAGTGGGCTTTGGGCATATGAGTACTACAGGATGTGTATTAAATAAATTGTTTCAGTTACCAACACCACCTTTGTCAAGACACCAACTAAAGCGGCTAGAAGAACACAGATATCAAAGTGCTGGACGGTCCCTGCTTGAGCCTTTAATGCAAGGGTATTGGGAATGGCTAGTTAGAAGAGTTCCCTCCTGGATTGCCCCAAATCTCATCACCATCATTGGACTGTCAATAAACATCTGTACAACTATTTTATTAGTCTTCTACTGCCCTACAGCTACAGAGCAGGTAAGAGTTTCTTAACAGATTTCAACATTTGCTGTATACCAAAAACATTGTAATTGGGATCTTGGGGTCATTTTAACTAAAGATAAAATAATCTGACCGCCATCTGTCAACTATTTTAAAATAACACACACTGTGATAAAGCTTGTAAGTACAACCTACAGATTGTTGTTTGTTAGAAACCAGAAGCCAAGGGTAAACTCTGATCCTAGTAGGTAAATTAATGTTAACAGAGTTTAAAATGTTCCTTTTAAAACTAAATCTGAGTTTTTTTTGTAAAAAAGCTTCATTTTTTTTAATGGTAAAGTCTTAATAATAATTAAAAAAAAAAAAGCAAGAAGTCTTTGGTATTTAGTGTGGCAAGACTGTAAACTAACCTTATCAAAACGTTTTTTTTTTTTTTTTTTTTTTCCATTCTAGTGAGAATTGTTCAATTTCCCTTCTCTCTTCCTGTAAACATGTATGCCTGATAGACTTCAGGTATATGGCTTATTATTCTAACAATTGTGGCAAAGGAAGTGTAAGAAAAAGTCAATATAATGTATTTTCTATTCCATATCCTGCTCTGGCTACCATTAAGAAAGGATACCTGCTATTGCTTACAAAGATTCTCTCACATAGGCCTTCTCAGATCCAAGCTTCTCTTCTACTGTTACATTCTATTACCCTCTGTACCCATTACTTGAAACCAAAACCAGAACTCTATCGGAATGGATAAATTGGTATTTCTTTGGTTTAAAAATTTCTTTACCAAAACACGAACTAAGCTAGTTACGTAAATGAGAGAATCATAAGCATTTGTTCTGCCTGTATTAGTTAGACTGATCAGTTTCTGGTAATTCAAGACAATAGAAGATAATTCTCAACCAAACATGTCACAGTGACTCTGAGCTAAATGAGATGGTAATGGCTACAGCATTCCTTGTTTTAAGCTTGAAGTAATTTTTTAAAATAATCTCAGATTATTTGTCCTTTGAGATAAAATGACCACCATTCAACCCTGTATTTTTCTTTTTTCATCAATTTGTCTGTTTCCATAGGTAGCGCTTAAAGTGAATGGTTATTGAGGGTCACAGTTACCCTTGTGATTCTGTCTTTTTCCAGGTGTT